CTTCAGTATACTATAGTTAAGAACTTGTCCGCGAAAGGGTTAATAAGGTCTTTGTTCAAGTACGGAACACGTTCTGGTTAGGGTAAAATAAAAATGACTGGATCAGAGCAAAGCCGGTAAGAACTCTGTGCTCCGACTTGTCCAAGCTACACAATAGTTTACTTCACTACTCGGCAGTTCTCCACCATAATCGTTTTTCGACGGCTTGGAGTTAACCATGTAGCTACCCGACGACACAACCAGCGACCTGTCCACCAGATTACCTGACAATTTGTCTGCAAGTAATCCAGGGTTCACGATTTCACTACCGCTAGAGTGGTCTGACTTTGCAGAATCGCCTCCAGCGATAGCGTCAAATACAGAACCAGGTGCAGCCTCTCAAACACCCGCACCTACAAGCTTGCAGGTGACTTCTGCTGCAGGGTCAACGCAGCTGCCCACTGTTGCGGCTTCGACGAAGGGTAAAGGGAAGGCAAAGGCGCAGCCTAAATTCCAGCCAAAACGCATAAAGTAGACAAACAAAATGATGGAGGCCTTGCTTCAGCTCCGCTTCTCCGATGGAGACGCCAAGCGGCGACTGGATTCAGCTGACACGAAGACAAAGAAGGCGCTAGCATGACACTACTTTGCCAGCGTGTTGTCCCAGTCGTTGGGGATAATGCTAATTCCTGACCAGGTATGATTTATTATTCTACTTGAGCGAAATGGACGAAGGTCTTTGAACTATTCTGAACGGTGCTTTTGGTGGACGCGTGGGAATTTGCGGTGAGGTCTGCCATCGACGATCAAGGTGACGAGAATGAGGATGATGGCGCGTCTAAGAATGATGGAGCGTCCAAGCAGAAGACCCCTCCTGTTGCTCATCTTGTCACTGCTCTGCAAGGGGGGATGGAAGCGATTGCAGCCTCCCTGAGCTTGCGGACTTCCTCCGACGACCACTTTCGTGCGCTGACAGCTACGTTGCAGCAGCAACACGAAGATACCCGTCATTTCCAGGAGTTGCATCTCCAGCACCTGTGTGGCATCCTTGCTAACCGGAAGGATTAGTCACATTGACAGTTAGTTATATTTTGATACTAACTCCTATCCAATATAATGAATACCACCTACTATCGCATCAAATCATGAAAATATTTGCTATCGCTTCACGCTTGTCAACCCCTTGTTCATGACAAACTGATTGCTCGCATTCGTCCGGATCTTCCGCAGCAGAAGCAGGGACTTGAGCCAGCAATGGATTGTGGCGAAGCGGAAATCCGTGAAAATCTTGTTGTCACATTTCTCGATACCACTGGCACTCGGACACCGACTAACGAAGGGGTCCTCCGATGATTCGTGATCTGGTTGTGTTCTTGCTCACCTTGTGTACCCGACGCCGGGCGGGTTACGCTCTCCTGGGTGACTCGTTTGACGTCGATGGGTCAAGGTGGATACGCAGGGGCTTGAGATAGTGTGTAACTTCTTCACTCTACCTCGGATCTGTCGATCGGCGATCACGATCTGCGATCACAATCGTGGTCTTGAGGCGTCTCCCGATCGCCGTCGCGCGGTGATCTTCATAGTCGCTGCTCACTTCGGGGCGCACGACCGCTGCCACTCGACGATCCCGTCCCGCTTCCTTCCTACGATCCTGGATCGCCATCTTGCCTTGACCTGGGATCGCCTTCTCCTCGCGTATCTTGATCTGTGATAAGAGCGGCTCCAATGTTGCCATCCTCCTTAGATCGCTGTCTGCTGACCCGCCACAGTTCCGGATCGCTGGTCGACAGCGACTCATGCCCACCAATTCCCCTTGATCCAGCATATCCCCGACCGCAGCCCGGCATGGGTATGTCGCTATCCATCATTCCAGGAGTCAATCTTGGGTCATCCGAAGTCAACATCACTCACCGGCGTTGTCACACGCTTGGATTTTGGAGAGGTGACTTGATGCCTTGGCTGGAATGGGATTTCTGTCGCCTGGTCCGTCTCTATGTCGTGATCTGGCAGCCGAGGTTGCCTTTCTCGCGAGATCTTGTTCGCGCTTCACCACATCCGCCCTCAGCCTGTAAGTTGGACCGTCCTGGTTCACTTCAGGTCTCATTCCACAATTCGCCGACTCGGACGAACTCCTCTCCAGCCTGCAGCCAGCCGTCCCCATGAGTAAGTCAGGTAGCGACCCCGGGAGTCCTCCGATATCGACTCCACCCGACTCTCCCCTGTCGACAGGGAGCCACCGGTCGCGCCAGTCCAATATTTCGCGTCGCTCACGCTCCCACGCCTCCGATCAGAGTCGGCGGTTGGTCGCCTTGGAGATCGAGCTCCGCCAGGGCAACCTCGCGCGGTATCGCCTCATCCAGGATCGAGATATTCTTGATCTGCAAGTTCGCCAGCTCCGATCCGACATCCGGGACATGGAAGCGTTCCAGCACGGCCAACGAGAAGAGATCACCCACCTGGAGGTCGAGATCTCGAACCTCGCCCACGACGCCGACGAAGATCCCGACGGCCTCCGCACCCAAGTTCTTCAACTTCGCACCGAGCGCAACGACTTCGAGCGTCATGCGATTTCCGCCCGCCAAGATCTTCACCATGCCGAGGCAGATCGCGATCGTTTGCGCCAGGAAGCTGCCCAGGCCGGGGAGGAGATTCGGATCTTGCAGGAGCAGGTTCGCGGTTTGGAGCGCGAAGCTGACGACGCGAGGTCCGAATCCGCCACAGTTCTTGCCAGCTACACCCGGATCTCCACCAGCCTCGCTCATCCACAACCAGATAACGATGGCAAGTCTCCGTCCTCGGGGGATGGATCCGAGACTCACCCCTCACCCCACGGTTCCCCCGGTGGATCCCCAGGTGGTGGCTCTCCAGGTGGTTCGCCCGGTGGTGGGTCACCTCTCCAGCTGAATCCGCCATTGTTCCCTCCCGAGGTGAGTGTTCCCAGCCATTCCACGGTCCGGGTGTTCACGGCAGCCGAGATCCCCCCGTGGGATCCGGCCATCGTGGGGTCTGTACCAATCATCGCCATGATTCAGGCCACCTTGACCAAGAGGTTGCCGATCCCGCCCGGCTTCATGTATCCTGCTCGGACGCCCTTTGTTCGAGTTCTATACCCAGGACCGGTTACCGTTCCGAGCTGATCACCGGTGCAAACGTGTTGACACTGATGGCTATGGAGCTGTGGCTCGTGCTTCGACGAAACCGTCCCACTCCGCTGACGTTCGATCACAACTTACACCGGCGGGCTAACGCCCCTCTATGGCGGATCGCCGTGTCGTATGCTGGCCCGGAGGAAGATCACCTGATAGCGTATTGGGAATCGGCCCATTACCTCGAGATCACGAAAGCGATGCTTGCCTCGGACCCCGATCTCTTCGTCTACCACCAGGATCGACGTCAGCGGCGCATCCGAGTTGGAGATCGCTGGCGGAAACTGTTGGGAGCGTGCCTCCCGATGATGAGAAGCCAGTGGGCAGATATCGACCTCCTGCTGGATCCTTACTTCCTCCACCTACCGATGCCCCAGGATCGAGCACGCTGGTTTCCCGGATCCGTCTCCAGGGCGACCAATCTCGCGCAGCCGACCGCGAACCTCCCCGAGTCGACCGACCTGATCACTGCCCAGTTCGAGTGCGATCAGGCCGATCCCTGGCATAACCATTTCGGCAATCCAGGCACCGCTCATCCATCGCTACAAATCCCTCGTCTCGCAAACAAATTCAACCCTCCAGCGGCTCATTAATTCGCGGATCCGGCTTCACTCCGGGAACAACCTCCATGATCCTCACTCGCCATCCCGCGACCGCGATTTTTTCTTATCAGCCCCGTAATTCCCCTATCTCAGCCACGTCTTCTACTCGCTTACTCTTTCCGCCGCTCTTCCTAACTGATCCATCTTCAGACTCGCCACGCCTTCCGCGATCCCCTACGAAGGTCGACGTTTCCCATATGCACGTATATGACATGAACTTCTGATCTCAGTCTTATCCGACTTGCATTACTTCGGGGTTGAGACGACCAGACAATCTCACCCCGTCCTCCTCACATCTCCTCAAGTGGTTGCATCACGTTGAACCGGTTACAATTCGCCCGTTCTCGCAGAAAGACGTTCAGTATTGCTCCGCAGTTGAGATCGGCCTCGTCAACCCAGGTCGGCTCGTCATATCCTACCCAATGCACCAGAAATTCTCAGTAGATCCGATCGAATCGCGTTTTCTTCCCACCCCGCACATCGGAGATCTGTTCGACTTCGTACTCGTCCGCTCCGAGATCTGGGACTCAGCTATCTTCCGGAAACAGGATCTCATCGAAGTCGAGGTGATCCGATTCGCTCATCGTGAGCTTAACTCGCGGCCGATCCGGAAAGTCCTTAACCAATTTCAGCTTCGATACATGAACGACCAGGAAGATCTGGTACCCGGTGCCCGCGATCTCGAGCTTGATGGTGAATTCATTGATCTTTTCGGCGATACGGAATGCCTCATGCCACAGGTGAGCCCATTTCCGGGCGTATCATTCTCTCATTCGGTCTAGATATAACCAAACTCGAGATCCAGCCTCGATCTGGTGTGATCCGACGTCATCATTATGTCGACTGGCCCGATCCGTGATGGCCTCTCTCAATATGGCATTGACTTGATCCCGCGATTGCGGATAATGCCGTTGGACCAGATAACACCATCGTTTGCGCGTCTCGATCGCGCCATCTGGTGCATCCGACTGGCAGTGTAGCCTCCAACGTCGATCTCGGATCCCACCCATGCACCGGATTATGAGGGGTATTCCCTCGGATCCGATCGTGGGCCGTGTTGATCGCGAAGGTAAGTCGCTCAGGATACTCATCCCAATCCTTCTGATCCAGATCGCGAACGTACATCTTGAGCGCCCGGGTCGCCGTCTGTACCATTCTTTCTGCGGTCCCGTTGGCTTGCGGCCGATATGCCATCGTCGGTCATTGCCGTCGTCCCAGGATCTTGTTAAACGCCTGGAAGAAGTCGGACATGAAACCGGGTCCTCGATCATGCCGGATCATCTCGCTGGCACCGAATCGCCGAAATTCACACTCTTCGTACGATTCCGCGACCGTCTGGGCCAACCGGGACGAGCTAACTTTCGCGATCACGCATCCTGTGTACAGATCGACCCAGATCAATAACTCAGTATTCCCCATGTGGGATCTGGGCAGCGACGGTATATGATCCATGCAATGATCTGGAACGGGTATGTCGCCTGCAAGTTCCCTCGTGATTCACCCCCGGATCACCAGTTTTCCTTTTCCCGTTTCACAGTCCGCGCATTCTCCCACATATCGCTGTACGCTTCGATATAATCCTCTCCAATGGAAGTGATCCCTGATCCGCTGGTAGGTACGACCTACTCCCTGATGTCCACCCTCTAGCGTGGTGTGATAGTGATGTAGGACGTCCGATTGCAGCGTTTCGAGAACTACCAGTCTCAGCAACCGATCGCGATCATTCCCCGATCTCGGCGTGGGAGGGCAGTAGAAGAGTAGATCCTGTTCGTCCACCTCATAGTCGACCCCGATCTTGCCGTACGATCTTGCTTCAGCTTGCGTGAGGTCTGCGATCGAGTCACTCAGATACTTCTTCATACCTGTGATCCAGCCTTCCTCCTCCGATCCGATCGACCTGCATCTCTCAAACCAGGTCCTCTTGCATGACTCCCGCGGGCGAACTTACTCGAGAAGCTTGGGTGGTGACCGCTGCAATTCGCACCACTGGGTTCTCGGTCTTGGGAATCAGGATTTCGTCCACCCGGTTTAAGGTAACCAGGTCTTGGTGTTCGGGCCATCCTCGGATCCGCTTGCGATCTATGTCCTCTAGCATGTCGAGTCCCAGAAGCAGGCCGTTGTATTCTGCTTCGTTCACGGTGAGGCTCTCGAGATAGCCCGATCTAGCTTTGACCACCTCCCATCCGGGCAGACTTTCACACGATCGCGCTGAACGCGCCCCCGCCACGCTTTACTCGAGCCGATCCATCAAAACTGACTACCCATAATGCCTCTTCTCGCTCCACGGTGGATATCGGCGTTTAGACCCGACGTTTAGGTTCCTTTCGAGGGGCGATATCGGTTAGTGCGTCGTCCATCTTCGCCCTCGTCGTGATACTGGCAGCGATCGCCCCCAGTATCTCGTCATCGCCTCTCATACACTTCTTGATCTCGAGAGTCCACGGCGCCAGGAGAGCTGACCATTGCCCTAGACGACCCTGTAATCCTGTCGACTTGAACAGCCAGGCTAAGGTGGAATGCCTCGTTAGGACCCGGATCTCGCGTCCCACCAGTAAATCGTAGTAGAGATCCAAGATCCTCAGTAATGCCAACACCTCCTTTTCGGTCACATTGTAATTCAGCTCGTTCGTCTTCAGGGTGCGGCTGGCGAACCCAACCGGATGGTAGATCCCGTCGTGTTCTTGCGTCAACGAAGCGGATATCGCCCAATCACTGGCATATACAATAATTACCGGCATTCTCGTCTCGTCAAAGTGGCGGAGAATTGGGGTCGTCGCGATCTTGGCTTTCATGGTGAGGAAAGCCTTATGCGCCCTGATCCACCTCTCATCTAATGATCCTGCCAGCTGAAGCTCCGGTGGGTCGGTATCCCCTGCAATCAGGTCGTTCTGGTCCATGATCTCCCTCAGATCCGGCCGTTTCTCCAGTTCTGCAAACTCTACCTCGCGTAGTTCGTATAGCACCGAGGCGTAAATAACGTAGTCTTCAATGAATCGGCTGTAATAGTTCAGACTACCCAGGAACGACTGCATGGATCGAAGTGATCCGGGGAATGGCAGATCGGTCAGGGATTTCAGATCTTTTGGGTTCGCCTCTAGACCACTCGGTGCCCCAGATATCCTACCTTATCCATGCCCCAGAAGCCCTTTGTCACACTGATCGATAAATTCCACTTATCACAAGCCTTCAACAGATCTTCCACCCTTTGGCACTTTTGATCCCACGATTCTGCTGCGACCATGATGTCGTCAATGTATGATCTTCGTCCCAACACTGACCCACGATCAGGATCGTCCGCGATCCCTGTCTGGAAAACGTCCGTTGTAGTCCCGGCGTCGCTTGATCGCGGGATTTTCAGAAATCCATACAGCGCGTTGTTTACGAGGCGTTGATGGATTTGCGGGCATTTTTCAGGCCAAAAGGCATGCGACTCCATTCGAATAATCCAAACGGGGTGATAAATGCTGAGAGCTGAGATTCCACGAGCCCGATCCGTCATGGGCACGACCCAGAAGCCACTGGCCATATCCAGCGAGCAATACCATAACGCCTTTTTGAGGTCCTCTAACAGATCGCTGATCAGAGGCATAGATATACCATCAGTCTCGTGAGGCTGTTTACCAGCTTGTAGTCGATGCACAACCTGATATCCACACCGTTACTCCTGCGGACAATCATGATCAGTGAGGCCCATGGCGATGTCGAGGGTCGGATGATCTCGGCTGCTTGGAACCCTTGATCAGGCCTGCGACATTTTCTCTAAATCGCGTGGGTCCTTTCCGGGATCGTAACGCGATCGGTCTCGCGTTCCTGACATCGATGTCACACACGACACCCCTGGCCGCCGGGGGTAGGGTGTTCCCTTTGCCGATCAGGAGGTGTTGCTTCTTCCAAATGATCTGCCGGAGCTTCTCGATCTCCTCGGGTGTGGCCGATCCGGACCTCCCACCTGCAGATCCTCGATGCTGACCTTCGCGGTCTCGAGATCGGAATATCGGGGAGGACAGCGAGGTTCCCCTCGAGATCTTCAGCTGAGAGATCACCACTCTCGTGGTAGTATATCTCATCATCATCCTCGGCATCCTGTGGGGTGGTCGCTGCTGCTCCTTCCGCCGACGGATCTCGCAGTTCGACGCCCTCGGTCGGGTGGATCCGGGATTGTACGCCGAAATCTTCGCCGGGTTCGAGTTTGATCCGGGTTTGACAGTTCGGATTTCCCGTTTTCGGCTTGATATCTTTTGTGCCAGTCCAATTTTCCGTCTTCGGCTTGATACCCTTGGTGTCCGCCCAATCGGAAGCCTGGCCCGGCATGCTTTCACTTATCCTGCTCCCCAGCATCGCCGCTCAGGTATCGACCGTCGTCGGGGCTGTCGTTGGTGTAGATAGACGGCTCCTTTCCGGGTTGGGAAACGTTGCCTCGATCTGGGGGGCGTTGGCTATTCATGCCCTCGATCGAGTTTCTAGGGTCGATATCAACGTTCGATTCCTGTCAATGTCAGCGGTTTCCGCCCGGCGAAGTATCAATCGTGGTGTGGGATACGTTGGTCGCTGTACTGCTGGCTCTGCAGGGTCCTCCATAAGTTCTGGAGGCTCTGATCGAATATCCACCGTTGATTCCAATGCCAGATTCTGCCATTCCCGGTAGCGACGAGACCCGACGGACACGAACCCTGGGGATCCGGGTACTTTGTCCTGATCCAGATCATACCAACGTCCAGACGGTGGTCCAGCCGTAGGATCTCTTCTCCCATGTTCGAGATCACCAGGTAGCGGATCCAACCGGGGCCTTTCGTTACTGTCGGTACCCATCGTTCTCATCTGGTCACCCACAGTTTCTCTGTGGCTGACAATTTTATCCTCGCCGCTGTTTCTTCCGACCGACAGACCGGGATTCGTTTCGTTCGAGAATCACTGATCTCACCTTCTCGCCATACAGCCTCTTACGACCATTAAGCGGTATTCCAACCTCATTAGGTAGACGCATCGATCTGTCGGCGAGGTCCATCCGCACCCCGGCTGGAACCATGAAATCCATGCCTAGGATCGGGTTCTGTTCTGATAGGTCTCCGATCCAGATATCGAAAAAATACACCAGATATCCCGCTAAGTGATCTTGATCCTTTCTCCCTTCCGTAGTATATACGTTGTCACCGATTCCCACGCATTCCTGTCTCTGACTAGTGTCAAAATTGCATCCCACCTTACTAGCAAAGGTGGTATCCAAGATCGATACCTCAGCGCCAGTATCTAGGAGCAGGATCGCTTTTCTTGATTGATCCTGCCCGAAATCTTAGCTTGTCTGAACCATTTTCCCGGTGCATGACGATTCCAATATCCCCTGGATTCTCCTCTTTTGAGATCTAAGGCCACTTCCGCGTTAGATCGGCTGAATTCGCCGATCTGAGGGAGGCTCGCGATTTTGACGGTGTACGAATGCAAATTACATGTATTACCGCGTAGATCCGAGTCCTTCCTACCTCGATCTGGCGTCGCCTTGTTCACGTAGGCGTAGATGCAATATCTAGAAAGCTCGGCTCGTACCGGATTCCACCCCCGGCGAGCGTCCTAGTTTAACACCTTCTCAACTTGTTAGGGGAACAGTCCTGCATGTCGAGTCGGGTCATACCATTTGCGTATCTGGTTGTAGTATTCTTCCATGGGACATTCTCCTGCCTCGTGGACATCCCCGCATCCGCGACACGCGTACAGACAGCGATCCGTTGGGTGACCTCTTTTCCCACACTTTTCATATGTCAGACGTTTCCAACAGTCTAGATCCGTGTGTTTCCTGGACCCACAATGCGAACAGCGGTCTCGGTCTTGGTGATCACTGTCACCCGGGGCGCAACGTTCGGGGATCCGGCCTCCTTCTGATGATTTCGTTTGAGACCGGGCTGGATCTGGGTTTTGCGAGGCGCCTAGTACCGATCAACTTCTCTTCTGCCGCGGCAAGGAAGACCCTTCGCAGTTCGTTTTCCGACTCGGATCCGTCAGATCCTGAGACCCCTTCTGACTCGGAGCTTGGATCTTGCGCTTGAATCGCGCGTACCATGGCACGGGCTGGCGCGGCCGGAGCGCTGGCCGGGGCCTTCTGTCGATATTTCGACCCGAGTGCTGATCTGCGTTGCCTGCTCTTGGCTTGTTCCCGCGCACGGAGAAATTCCTCAAGTTCGTCGACGTCGGTCAATCGTAATAGCGTTGGGCGGTCTGCCAACTCGGGATCGCCCAACGTCTCGATGTAATGATCGACGTTTTCTCGACGCGCTTTTGGGTTTCCGTCCTTGATCTTGAGTTTAGCTCATAGAGCTGCTACGTTCAGTCGATAGAGATAATCGAGCGGGGTCTCCTCGGATCTTTTCCGAGCATGGTAGTACTGCCATGCCATTGACATTCCCAGACCGCAGTATTGCGTCTGGAAGCTGTCGAGCAAGTCCGCCCATTTGGTCTTGGTGGTCCGACTTAACTGTCGGTGCCAGTTCTTGGCTGGTCCCACCACCAGATCCGCGAACGTGAGGCATTTCTCCTCTTCTGTCGCTTGATCTCGTTGGAACGCCGATTTTACTTTGCCGATCCAAGCCCTGGCGCGATCTTCGTCCATATCTTTCCCGGTAAATTCTTTCAGATCCGAGATGGCCGAAATTTGGACCCTCTGGATCAGCGATGACCCTCCAGGACCGATTGTTGCCGTGGCGACCGCAGCTCAGCCGGAAGTATGACCGGAGAAGCTCGGAATCGTCGGGATCGTACTCCCAGGAGTGTGGATCCGGGGTACCGACTGACTCCATGTCGATATCCTGCGTTCCGAGGGGTGGTGGTTGGACTGTCACCAGGATTTGTTCCTTCAGGAATCGATTCATCGCCATCTGGAAGTATTCGTCCAGCCTGTTGCTAGATCCGGTCGAATAGGTCGTCGGAGTGGTCCATCCTGGTGGGATCTGGAGCTTACCCTGCCGATCGGGCTTCTCAGGAGTTTGACTCGGTCCTACCGGCCGTTGATCACGCGTGATCTCAGATACTTGGCGCCCGAGGGACCTAGCGACATGCGTTGTGGGGCTCGGGGAGAATCTAAATCGGGTTCCGAGGTGGCCGACGCGTTGTGTGACGACCAGATCTGGTAGTTCAGATCGGGCGTTTGTACGTGTTCGCCGACCAAGATCTTGAGCGAGTCAAAGAGATCTTGAGTCGCCGCCTGGATCGCCCCCAGTTCCATCTCGAACAGTGACCCCGGATCGAATTCTCCAGCTACTAGTCCGGCCTCATGGAGGAGATCTAGCAGGATCTTCACTGCATTCAGCCTATTTGAGCTGGTGCTGGGCTTGGATATCGGGCCTGTCAGATCACCGATCTGGCGGACCTGTATGATCGCGAGGACAGGGTCATGTAACCGTGTCTCGCTCAGGATCTTCCGGTAGTAAGCCTGCTCGATCCTGGCTTTGGCGGCGGTCGATCTCGGCTTATTCACGTCCTCCGATTCCGAATCTGGCGCCTTCAGCTTTGTCTGAGCGGCCTTGAGCTTCTTTTTCTTGGACAATCTTGTCGCGGTCGCCGACTTGGTAGACGAATTGGATTTCAACTTGGTCACTTCCTTGTCGGTTGTGTACGGATCTAGACTCTCGTCGATATCCGCAGTGTCCACCGGGGCGGCCATGAGGGGAATTCGAGGCTTTTCTTCGAGATCTGGGTCTTGATCCAGGTCTGCCCCGTGTCCGTCAGTAGAGATCCTCTCCATACTCAGCTAATCTGTGGCTTGCTGTATTAAGTGATGCCTCCGTCGATCCAGCATTCGTAGGCCCTTCTTCCCTGTGTTTTTCTTTGACCTTGACATCTTCTCGGGACTCACGGTGAAATCTCGAGTCACCAGAAGATCCGGGCACGCGCACCATTGTGGCGAAGCGGAATCCGCGAAAATCTTGTTGTCACGTTTCCCGATACCACTGGCGCCCGGACACCGACTAACGAAGGGGGTCCTCCGATGATACGTGATCTGGTTGTGTTCTTGCTCACCTTGTGTACTCGACGGCGGGCGGGTTACGCTCTCCTGGGTGACTCGTTTGACGCCGATGGGTCAAGATGGATACGCAGGGGCTTGGGATAGCGTGTAACTTCTTCACTCTACCTCGAATCTGTTGATATCGATCGCAAGCGAGTCCTCGAGCCGCGATCACGTTGCCTGGTTGTCGATCCAGGTCTTCTGGGTGTTCAATGTCGGAGATCTAGCTCCTTCCTTGTGTGTGCTTGCCGCTTCCTATAGCGAGGAACTTGTTGCGTCGAGGTCCGATGAGATATTCAGGCCAAGCAACCAATGCCTTCCGATCAGTAGTAAACACTTGAGGACAAGTCACTTGGTAGAGGAAAGCTGGCCAATATATTATCCAGGCTTAACCAATACGCTAGATCCTACGTCCTTACCGTCTGCGCGCTTGAGAGGCCAATCTTATCCCCGATTCCAGGCGTGGGCAGACACATGAGCAGCTTAGAGCAACTTCGAGCTGTTTACGTTTATCCCTATATCCACTACCCCATCCTCAGCTGCTTTCCAACGATCACCTGACATCTAGATACCTACCTCATCCTGAGAACTGTCGATAGGCGATCACGATCCGCGATCACAATCGTGGTCTTGAGGCGTCTCCCGATCGCCGTCGCGCGGTGATCTTCATAGTCGCTGCTCACTTCGGGGCGCACGACCGCTGCCACTCGACGATCCCGTCCCGCTTCCTTCCTACGATCCTGGATCGCCATCTTGCCTTGACCTGGGATCGCCTTCTCCTCGCGTATCTTGATCTGTGATAAGCGCGGCTCCAATGTTGCCATCCTCCTTAGATCGCTGTCTGCTGACCCGCCACAGTTCCGGATCGCTGGTCGACAGCGACTCATGTCCACCAATTCCCTTTGATCCAGCATATCCCCGACCGCAGCACGGCATGGATATGTCGCCATCCATCATTCCAGGAGTCACTCTTGGGTCATCCGAAGTCAACATCGCTCACCGGCGTTGTCACACGCTGGATCTTGGAGAGGTGACTTGATGCCTTGGCTGGAGTGGGATTTCTGTCGCATGTCCGTCTCTATGTCGCGATCTGGCAGCCGAGATTGCCTTTCTCGCGAGATCTCGTTCGCGCTTCACCACAGGATCCACTCCTCTTCCCGGTATTGCATCTTGCATTCGCACCAGCAATTTATGTAAAACCACGCAACTAAGAATTACCTTACATACCCGCTCAGCAGACTTCTTCTCCAATCTCCCTATCAAAATGCGAAAAAGGGTTTTAAGACGATCGAATCTGCATTCAACGACGATACGTGTCTTGGAGTGCAGATAATTGTACAGTCGTTTTTGTCGATCTTAAAGGACTTCAGGAAACGGAGTAAGTAGGTGGCTCCAGATTTTGTAGCCTGCGTCACCAACCAAATGCTTCCCTGGCGGAATAAAACTTGAAAGGCTGCAACAAACATCATATAATTAATTAGCAACATGTAGTAGTTCTGAACCAAAACATGGATATAAATTACCGTTTCGAACGCCAGAGCCATTCTACAATGATTGATCGTTGTTGGTGCCGGAACGAATGGAAATGGATCGAAATATACCGTGATGATCAAAAATAGCTTGCACATTTACTGCAGGAAAGTTCTTGGGGCAATACCAACCTTCGAAATCACTAGGGCGAGCAATGCGGACGAGGGTTCCGTCGACGGCGCCGATTATGTCGAGAAAACTGTGCGGCTGCAAAGAAGCCTTTCCTCAATAGCCTCAATCACATCGGCTCATCACAACAAACCGGTTGGCCATGGCGCTTAGAGCATCCATGGTCTCGTTGATGTAGACCGTAGCACGAGGTCTGGATAATCCTAGCGCCGTGGCCGCTTTGTCCATCGTACCGCCCTGGACGAGATAGTTCATTGTCAGTGCTACGTGCTTTATGACCTGATTCTTACAGTTGGGGCTGGGTTCACGACCCCAGGCAGCGTGAACCTGCTCATAAATGCGCAGTAAAGACACGTTGTCGCAGCGCAGCTTCTGTTTGAACCAACCGGTTCCGGAGGTGCGTAGTGCTGTCTCAAGGGCACGTGTCTGACAAGTCATGGAGGCGTTGGGGGCCTGCCGTAGAATTTAGCAACGTGGTACACTGTATACCGAAACCATTTTGACTAATTAAAATGCAATATACACGTCGGTTCAGAACGCGGTCCGTATTTGAACAAGGGCCTAATGATTATCGATTCAAATCAATAATCACTTTGAGATCATTTTGACTACTGGTACTACTTAAGGAAAAATATATGAATTTATCCATGTTGTTGAGGAACATGAATGAGCAAACAATTTCTGGAACGAGCACTACCAACGTCTAAAGTAAGAGAATAATACAAGATAGGAAGATACACTAAAGCGAGAGCAGAATGATCTGACCTACGTGCCCTGTAAATAATGGTGTTTACTACACTACCGTAGATACATCAAACCACTATTATTAGTGATTCCAAGCGGAAGTCGCTGACGACCAAGTTAAAGCGATGCTTTGACATTGACGTGCTGTTTGACAACCTGCCGTGCCTTTTGTTTGCTAACTTTGCTCGCTCCGCTTTCACCAGCAAAGTGGAAAGACGTTGGGATCGGTGCACTCATCGCGTTGCTGTATTTATTTGAGCTTCCTGGTGCTTGGCAGACAGTAAATGATTCCCCGTTCCGGTCTCGCGATGGCATTCGGAAAAATCTTCTTGCTGAAGTCAAATTCGCTACTCTGGGTCGAAGAAAGGAATGCAACAATTCCTCGGTTCACTCAACTACTACAGACGCTTTATCCAAGTCCTCGCTGTCTATGGAGCCGCGGTATATCAGTTGAAGCAAGACGATTTCTTCGAAGGGGGTGACTTGGCAGGAGCCAAAGAGAGTTTACCGTGCACCAACGAAACGTAGCTGAAGCTCCTATCCTACGTCATTTCGATGCGAAGAAAGAGGTGCACATCATGCTGTATGCCAATGAGTGGGCGCTAAGTGCAACCTTGATGCAGATGCACGACGACAAACTACATCCTGGTGAGTACTTCAGGTAGAGTCGAGTACCTCTTGTCGGAGCTGTTTGACGTGGAATTCGCGGATTAACAGATTGAACGGGATTAGTTGACACTTTTGAGGTTGAGCAGCGTTTCAGTGGCTCCGCCTTGCATGATGGTGCGGATGACGACGATGGCATTACTGATGAAGCACGTAAAATACGACGCCCTTCGTTGTAATTGCACTCGATCGTGTAGACATACGTGAGTCCTGTAGCGTGATACAGGGCCTCGCGACTGGACCCTTGGCGTGATATCGTAGCATTGTTATTGTCGCGAAGATCATGTCGCGTCATGTTCTCCTTGTCGAACCAATACGCCATGTAGTAAAAAATGGCGTATGCAGACCCACAAGACGTGCGTAGAGCTGTGTCTAAATCTGTCGAGCAATAGAAGCCTCTGTAGCTTCGTTATCCGCGTCAATGAGAGTGTCCGGGAGGTGGTTGTTATCAAAAATGAAGCATCCGCGACGATTAGAGTGTGCATGAAGGTCGAGGTACACCACTACTTTCCTTTGTCAACCCAGAATCAGCCCCACCATAGTCATGGGCGAATTGTAGTATAAGATTCTTTATAACAAACACTGTCGGAGCCAACTCAGGTTGCGGGTCTTCATAAACTCGATTTAAATTAACACCCCGCGTATCTGTACGATAGAAACCTTTGCAAACACCGTCAGGATTCAGCATCGGGATAATTTTGAAGATAAAGTGTCGATGTAGTCTCATCAGTTGGATGGGGTAGCAGCTGCAACATGCCATTCAACATAAAATTGGTCGGTGTTTCTCCTGAATGAACACGTGTGGAGATGAATACCATCTTCTTCTGCTTCGGATCGAACCGAAATGCACCCTCGGGTGATATGTACTCGCTATTTTGCAAAGTATCAACCTTCCAACACGGAGGTCCATGGCTTGACATTATACCATCAAAGGTGGAGATCGTAATCAAGTCTACACGCAAACCCTCCAACGATCGAGTTAGAAACTCTCGATGATAGTAGATTTTTGTATATTTCTCGACCGTAGGCGAAGACTCTAGTTGAGTTTCTGCAAATTGTCGATCGAAGGTTGCAAGTTCTTCTTGCACCCTCAGGTACGTAAACGGGTAGCAAAATGCAAACCTCACTCGTTCTCTGGTAAACATGAATTTGTAGGAAAAAGGCAACCGAATTTTCACATCTGCAGTTGGTGTTGCATTTGCTCCAGCCCAACTCACTTGAGATTTTTACCAATTTTCCACCCCCTTCTTCATCAACTCCACTAACTGATTTCGCATTTTGCGCTGTCGGGATCGAATATTTCTTGAAACACAGCGGTGTCGGCAAACGGGCCCACCGTTTTTCATCCTGGAAGATGCACGAAGTTGCCGATCCTGTCAACTCGTCATCCACATCAACTAAGCAGTACATTTCCGTGAACAGTCCACGTAGGGGATTCATATTGACAAGTGTCAATTGAAGGTCTTGCATCGCCTTGGGAGTTACCTCGTTTTGTGGGCACTCGTGGGCCCGTAGCGCCCACCAGAAGTAAAATACCCGCTGGTGGACAGGACTCCGCGACGAAGGCTTCGCCGGTAGTGCATGAGAGCGCTCTACAAGAGCAACCCCATGTTTATGTGGAAGATGTTCCAGATTTTCCTCTTCTGGACGGCGGTGTCCTCCGGGGTAGCGTCTGCTGCTTCCTCCAGGAAATGCCGACGCACCATCTCCTATGTGTGAAAGGACGGGAGAAGGACATCCTTGTAGTTTTGCACCAGCCCGCTCGAGAGCCGGCTAGTGCAAGTCGCTCACGGTGCGCGTCGCCTTCCGAGACGTGAAGCGAAGGATCGGTTGAAGGTTTGAGTAGGCGAAGCGAAAATGTAAAATGAACTAAGCGTCGTACTGGCATCGCGGCTACTGGGCGCATCTGCGGCTGCACCCGATTGAACTTGCGCACGCCAAGGTCAATCGCGCACACTCGCTCGCTCTTGGGCGGGTCGAACTCTCGAAGACGAGGCACGATGAGGTAGTATTCTGATATTTCCATTCTTCTTCGTTCTTTCCGATTGAGTATTTTTGGCCCTAGATGTCCTCAGCAAAGTTGGCTTTTGTCAGGGATGCCAGACTCGACGATAGCAGCATCTCCTGACTTTTGGTAGCTCTATCACCTGTGATTGTAGACTGCGTCTCAGAGGGAACACGGCATAACCGATGAAAGCTCCGATGTTGGCGACCCAGTACTAGTTACTGAAGAAAAGTGCCTTCTCGGTAGGTGGAGCTGTGGGTGAGAATTGATCATCTCCTTACGAAATGACGAGTGACCGCAGACAGATTTGTGGACGCCAAGGTGGGATTGTACCGTAAACCACAGGTTCATTGCAACAGGGCGTCAATTAATACTCGTGCATAATCGAGTCCTAGACGCATGATACCCATCACTTCTGTTTTTATGGCGGGGTTTCATTGGATAAAATAAATTATAAATAGTGTATAAATCAAACTTTGAATACATGGGACGATACATTTCCGGAACCTTTCCATTATGTGATTGGAAGAAAAGATATTTGAAAAGTTAAAAAAGCCAAGAATTTGCTACAGATTAGATTCAAACGTATGTTTGGATGAAATATTAGTAAACAAGCGAGTTGGCGGCGCCGCGAAACGGCGCCGCACTCTGAAT